TTGCACTCGCAGTGGCTGTCCAGGAACGTCAGCACCTTGGCCTGGGCTGCGTCGGCGCCCCGGACCCGCGAGCGCATCAGGCCTGCGGGAGAGATTCAAACGCACATCAGGGAGGGCGGAGCGGGCCTCTGGGGAAAAGGCAGGAACAACACAGCCCGCACCTGCACCCGCATCTGCACCTGCACCCGCTCCTGCACCCGCTCCCACACCTACACCCGCATCTGCACCCGCTTCCGCGCCTACACCCACTCCTGCACCCACTACCACACCTACACCCGCTCCTGCACGTGTACCTGCACCTGCATCCAGACCCACACCTGCATCTATGCCTGCACCCACACCTGCACCCGCACCCACACGCAGCTCTGCAGCCCCCCACATGGGGATTCGAGCCCACAACCCGGGCATTGAACCCTGACCTCCTGGTTCATAGGTCACTGAGCCACGCCGGCCGGCCGGCCGGGCAGAAAGCTTTCTTTAAGGGATCCCTGGCTCAGGAAAAGTCAGCACTGATCCTGAGAGTCTCACCTTCTCGCCGATCGTTTCTGAGAACCCGCACTTTCTCGATTTTCCCCAGGAGCGCCCCGTCCTCCGCTGGGGAAAGAGGAGAGGAGAGCGTTTGACCCTCACGTTTACGGGGGGCTCGGCATGCCGCAGGGATTCTGGGTCACCTGTGGGCGTCACAGAGGGAGGCACCCCCTCCTCCCGTGGGCCTGATCCCGCCCTGCATGAACCCGCCATCAGCGCATTGGCAACCACAGAGGAAGGCTGGCGCCCGGGGGAGGGCCCGGTCTGGCCCGCACAGGGGGGCCACGGTCCGGTACTTACGGTCGTTGCTGTAGTCGTCCACCAGGATGATTTCTCTGATGAGGTGGGGCGGGCTCTTCTTAAGCACACTGAGGAGAGACAGAGACGAAGCTGCAGGCCTTTGGGGTGTCACTGGGGTGGGGAATTCTCTTGTCTTCGCTCCCATCTTTGTCTGGAGGCGCCCTCGGCCCCTCCTTGTTCTGCACGCTCAGGGGACCTGCCTGCAACCCCGGCCGGCCCCGCCCTGGCCGTGCAGGGGACACAGCCCGCATGCAGGGTCCCT